GGACGGCGGTTAGATTGCTGGACGTTCGAATCGAATCTCACATTTGCTGACCGGTTAGTGTGGAAAACAAGGGTACGACGCGAGGTGATGCCGTGCTTTAATCTAAGCGACAAGGGGAGAGCCTGACGCTAAAAGATGAGGGAGGTACCTTGCCGGCGTTGGTGCCGGATTTAGCGCCGGCTCCAGCAATGGCGAAGTCGATTCCGCTAAAAGGAAGCGACGCATTGCGGGGCGCGAGATCGGCGCGCGGCGAGGGAATCACGAGGAAGTCGGCTGTCGAAAGGAAAGAAAAGGGAGGGAGAGGAGAATCAACCTGGTTGAAATGGCTTCAAAAGCATGGCCGTTTTGAAAACTGCGATGATTGAGCACAGAAGAACGGTGAAAACAAATGATGTCCCGCATCAGGAATCTAGTACTGTAACCAGCAGAAGACGCACCGAGATAGTCAACGACGAGCTTTCCGTCGGAGAAGCGGCCCGACGCGGGCTTGAAGTTGACGCCGTACGGCAGCTTGTTTGCCTTCACGGTCGCGCGGGTGAAGTAATTCGCGTTTCCGACGTCCGCCGACTCGTCGCCGAAAACGTACATCTGCGAAATCTTCGCGGCCGTCGCGGCGCGCGCGACGCACGCCAGCGCCGTGGCGAAAAGAAGAAGCGCGGACACAGAAGCGAGCCCCGAAGCCATGCTGATGCTGTGGGCGCGGAGACAAGTGGAAAAGGTTGTAATGCTACTGGGTGAGAGGAATGGATTTGGAGTCACGTGTGGTAGGCACACGGAAGTGAGCACACACGGTGGGAAGAGGCGTGGAGATGTTTGGAGCGAAGCGAGCAAGTACGAGAGAGAAGATGCAAACGGTGGTATTTGAACTTGGATAACTGGGTTTTTTCGCGTTGCGCAGGTGGGGTCCCATGGAAGAACCCGGTCGGGTCCTTATCTCCCAATATGGCTTCTGGCGGCTTGCGCTGTTCATAGAAAATGTGGAATTTGGAATAGTTGCGTTGGAATGTCCGTGTGGGAAATCGTGGTGGTGTGCTCAAGAAAGAGCTGTGGCGGGAGGGAGAATCAGATTTCGCGCAAAATATATCGGGATGCCATGAAGAACGATAGCCTCGTGAGTGTTCGTGAACCTCCTGCCAGCTCTAAGTTTGGTCGCCAGAAATGATGAACAGACTCGCGAAGCGGCTCTGGCAGACGCAACACTTTCACCGCATGGGCAAGTATGGGGTGGGGGCCACTGCGACTCGACATGAAATGCGATGGTATGGGAGCAATGCGCGGTTCGAAAGGGTTATGCCTCCCGTACATCTCCCTTCTGTGCTGTGACCTGTCCCGCATACCAACCGTACATCTCCCTTGTGTGCTCCTGTGGTGCTTCTAGGTGCAACACGGTTGTAGCAGGCTTGTAAGGCACACCGATCGGTGCTTGGACAAATGGCGGTTGTGATGTGAGGGATTGGAAGGAACGCGACCTGCACCACTAACGCCTGTTACGGGTATCGAATCGAACCGTGACTTTGTGAATAACAAGACGCCTTATGAATTGGTGTAGTATTCAGTGAATTGTAGCTGCCTTATCGGGCATAACATAATCTATACATTTTACCTATCATCAAAACATAACGTACAAAGCATTATTTTTAGGGGTTCAAACTAGATGCAGATGAACTGCGGAGCATAAGGCCTGCTGTCAATAGAGCATGCTTAGCCAAATAATGTCTGCTATTCGACATGTGCCACATCAGCTGTGCGTGTTGAGAGGTGTCACGGAATCCAATCGGGAGTGTTCTAGAGTGGGAACGAGATCGGATGAGATGCGCATTAGGTCGAGAAACTCATAGTCCCACAGCACCTCGCCATCGTAAGCGTAGTACTCCTGCAGTGAACAACGGTGTGCAGGAGTGGAGAGGGGTGCAGGGAGCATAGAGAATGGTTGCGGTAGAAGACAAGACACACGGGAGGTGTAGGAATTCGTTTTCCCACAGCACCTCGCCACTATAGGTATAGTATTCCTGCAGTGTGCAGAGAACAACAAATTGAAGAGAATGCAGGCAACACGAGTGGAGAGGGGTGCAGAGAATGGAGGGGTGCAGAAAACAGCAGTGGAGTGGGTGCAGGGAGCATGCATAGTGAAACACCTTGACCACGTTGACTCACCTTGACCACGTTGACTCACCTTGACCACGTTGACTCACCTTGACCACGTTGACTCACCTTGACCACGTTGACTCACCTTGACCACGTTGACTCACCTTGACCACGTTGACTCACCTTGACCACGTTGACTCACCTTGACCACGTTGACTCACCTTGACCACGTTGACTCACCTTGACCACGTTGACTCACCTTGACCACGTTGACTCACCTTGACCATGTTGACTCACCTAGACCACAGTGACTCACTTTGACCACGTTGACACACCTTGACCACAGAGACTGGCTGCATAGAGGCAGAGAGGTGGTGAGGGAGAAGCCAGCAGCTTATGAGTAGACTCAAAAGTGACTCACATTTACTCACCTTGACTGCGTTGACTCACCTTGACTGCGTTGACTCACCTTGACTGCGTTGACTCACCTTGACCACAAAGACCGGTTGCATGGAGGTGCGCTCAAGACCGGATATGGTGAGCGAGAGAGAGGCATCTGCTGCCAGCAGGTCGCTGAGTGAGAGGTCGTGCAGGGGGCTCACCTTGACTCCCATTGACTCACGTTGACTCACCTTGACCACAAAGACCGGCTGCATTGAGGTGCGCTCAAGGCCGGATATGGTGAGCGAGAGAGAGGCGTCTGCTGCCAGCAGGTCACTGAGTGAGAGGCCGTGCAAGGGGCTAGAGTCATCCACTATGTGCCGCAGATTGAAGCCAAAGCGCATGTAGGGCAGCTGGGAAGGTGGGCGGGGGGGGAATGGGGGGGAGTGGGAAGGGCAAGGGTGGGAGAAGCAGGATGGTAGGGGGTCATTGAGAGTGTGATCGTGCAGAGGGCTTGTGCCGTCCACTACGTGCCGTCCACTACGTGCCGTCCACTACGTGCCGTCCACTACGTGCCGTCCACTACGTGCCGTCCACTACGTGCCGTCCACTACGTGCCGTCCACTACGTGCCGTCCACTACGTGCCGTCCACTACGTGCCGTCCACTACGTGCCGTCCACTACGTGCCGTCCACTACGTGCCGTCCACTACGTGCCGTCCACTACGTGCCGTCCACTACGTGCCGTCCACTACGTGCCGTCCACTACGTGCCGTCCACTACGTGCCGTCCACTACGTGCCGTCCACTACGTGCCGTCCACTACGTGCCGTCCACTACGTGCCGTCCACTACGTGCCGTCCACTACGTGCCGTCCACTACGTGCCGTCCACTACGTGCCGTCCACTACGTGCCGTCCACTACGTGCCGTCCACTACGTGCCGTCCACTACGTGCCGTCCACTACGTGCCGTCCACTACGTGCCGTCCACTACGTGCCGTCCACTACGTGCCGTCCACTACGTGCCGTCCACTACGTGCCGTCCACTACGTGCCGTCCACTACGTGCCGTCCACTACGTGCCGTCCACTACGTGCCGTCCACTACGTGCCGTCCACTACGTGCCGTCCACTACGTGCCGTCCACTACGTGCCGTCCACTACGTGCCGTCCACTACGTGCCGTCCACTACGTGCCGTCCACTACGTGCCGTCCACTACGTGCCGTCCACTACGTGCCGTCCACTACGTGCCGTCCACTACGTGCCGTCCACTACGTGCCGTCCACTACGTGCCGTCCACTACGTGCCGTCCACTACGTGCCGTCCACTACGTGCCGTCCACTACGTGCCGTCCACTACGTGCCGTCCACTACGTGCCGTCCACTACGTGCCGTCCACTACGTGCCGTCCACTACGTGCCGTCCACTACGTGCCGTCCACTACGTGCCGTCCACTACGTGCCGTCCACTACGTGCCGTCCACTACGTGCCGTCCACTACGTGCCGTCCACTACGTGCCGTCCACTACGTGCCGTCCACTACGTGCCGTCCACTACGTGCCGTCCACTACGTGCCGTCCACTACGTGCCGTCCACTACGTGCCGTCCACTACGTGCCGTCCACTACGTGCCGTCCACTACGTGCCGTCCACTACGTGCCGTCCACTACGTGCCGTCCACTACGTGCCGTCCACTACGTGCCGTCCACTACGTGCCGTCCACTACGTGCCGTCCACTACGTGCCGTCCACTACGTGCCGTCCACTACGTGCCGTCCACTACGTGCCGTCCACTACGTGCCGTCCACTACGTGCCGTCCACTACGTGCCGTCCACTACGTGCCGTCCACTACGTGCCGTCCACTACGTGCCGTCCACTACGTGCCGTCCACTACGTGCCGTCCACTACGTGCCGTCCACTACGTGCCGTCCACTACGTGCCGTCCACTACGTGCCGTCCACTACGTGCCGTCCACTACGTGCCGTCCACTACGTGCCGTCCACTACGTGCCGTCCACTACGTGCCGTCCACTACGTGCCGTCCACTACGTGCCGTCCACTACGTGCCGTCCACTACGTGCCGTCCACTACGTGCCGTCCACTACGTGCCGTCCACTACGTGCCGTCCACTATGTGCCGCAGATTGAAGCCAATGCGCATGTAGGGCAGCTGGGAAGGTGGAAGGGGAGACGTGGGGAGCAGGAGGACAAGGGTGGCATCAAAAGTCAGGAGAGTGAGGCAGAGGCAGGCAGGGTCAGTGGCAGGGTCAGTGAGTGGCAGGGTCAGTGAGTGGCAGGGTCAGTGGCAGGGTCAGTGTCAGGGTCAGTGTCAGCAACACTACTCACATCGGATTTGACGAGCTGCAGGTCGTGCAGGCAGCAGTGCACCTCCCCGGAAGGGGTGAGAGGGAACAGGTAAAAAGAGTGAGGCAGAGGCAGGGTCAGTGGCCGGGGCAGTGGCAGGGGCAGGAGCAGAGCCAATGGCAGCAACACTACCCACCTCGGATTTGACGAGCTGCAGGTCGTGCAGGCAGCAGTGCACCTCCCCGGAAGAGGATGGGAGGAAGAGGCGCAGCGAGAGGGCGAGTTTCACGTTCACCAGCTCGTGCGAGTTCAGCCCCACCAGGGCAAACCGTGCCGTGAGAATCCTGTGGTTCGTACGTGAGCGAGTGGGGGAGAGGGAGGAGGGAGGTTGGTTTTGAGTCTGGTAAAAAGGCACGTTCACCAGCTCGTGCGAGTTCAGCCCCACCAGGGCAAACCGTGCCGTGAGAATCCTGAATACTGGTGGAGAGGAAGCAGGAAGGATAGTTATGAGAATAGTTTTGAGTCGAGTAAGAAAAGGCACGTTCACCAGCAAGAGAGCAAGAGGAGTGAGGGAGTTTGCCTATGCAAGAGAGCAGCAGGGGGGACGCGGATGGAGGAGAGGGTGCGAGGGGAAGGAGGGGGAAAAAATATGTTGACAGGGGGTAGAGGAGACAGGAACACTGACAGTGCACAACACAACAGCTTAAAAGCCGTAACCCTCCCTCTGCCCCAAGGCGCCACCCCTCCTCCATTCCTCGCCTCCTCCTCTAATCACCTCTTCTTCTACTCACATTTTCTTCTCCGTGCCATAGCGTTGCATGTTATTCTTCTGAAGTTATTCTTTTGAATTTTTTCTTCTGAATTCTCAAGAAACGCCCTTCACTGACCTTCTCTTCTCCGTGCCATGGCCGGTCAAGGGCTGAGTGGCAATTGTGACGAAGCGAGAGCACCGCACCGTCTCTGCTGGGCGGCCGATGCGAGCAAACACTGGTGATGGGAAGGGAGATTGGAACAACAGTGGGGGTGCAGACGGGGAGAGAAGTGAGTGAGTGGCAAGGGTGACGAAGCGAGAGCATTGCACCGTTTCTGCTGGCCGGCCGATACGAGCAAACACTGGCCATGGGAGGGGAGGGGGGAACAACAGTGGGGGTGCAGAGGGGGAGAGCAGAGAATGAGTGACTTTTGAGACGTCTCAAAAGCGAGAACACCGCACCGTCTCTGCTGGGCGGGTGATGGGAGCAAACAGTGGCCATGGGAGGGGAGAGGAAACGACGTAGAAGGAAGCAAAAAGGGGGTGCTGAGGAGTAAAGAGGAGTTGAAACGAGAAGAGTGACAGAGTGAGAAAGTGCAGAGGCAGACTCTGGAGAGGAAGATAAAGCTGAGCTGCGAGAGCAGCGTGAGGAGGTGAGAGCGAGGAGGTCAAAGTGAGGAGGTGAGAGTAAGGAGGTCAAAGTGAGGAGGTGAGAGTGAGGAGGTCAAAGCGAGGAGGTGAGAGTGAGGAGGCCAGGGTAAGCAGAGTGCAGAGACGCACGTTGGTGAGGAAGCACCCACCTGCACCAGCGGGCACCCACCTGCACCGCTGAGGAAGACGAAGTTGAGCTGTGCGAGCAGCGTGAGAATATTGGAGAGCACGAGTGCAGGGGGCGAGAGCACCTGCAGCGGCGATCCTCCGAACGTGGTGCAGAGAGAGAGGCTGGGGGGGACGGGACGAGAGAGAAGAGGGGGATAAGCAAAGAAGACGGAAGGAGGGGATGGGCAGAAGGGATGAGCAAGGAAAGAGCAGCGAACGTGGTGCAGAGAGAGAGGCTGGGGGGTGGGGAGAGGGAGAAGCAGGAATGGGAAGGAGAATAGAGAATGAAGACAGAGGGGAGGAAAAAGGGGATTAGCAAGGAATGAGCAGGTGGACGGTGGGCGACAAGGGTATCAGATAAACTCATGCAGCCATGCAGCCATGCAGCCATGCAGCCATGCAGCCATGCAGCCATGCAGCCATGCAGCCATGCAGCCATGCAGCCATGCAGCCATGCAGCCAAGCACCCATGCAGCCATGCAGCCATGCAGCCATGCAGCCATGCAGCCATGCAGCCATGCAGCCATGCAGCCATGCAGCCAAGCACCCATGCAGCCATGCACCCATGCAGCCATGCAGCCAAGCACCCATGCAGCCATGCAGCCATGCAGCCATGAAGCCATGCAGCCTTGCAGCCATGCACCCATGCACCCATGCAGCCAAGCACCCATGCACCCATGCACCCATGCACCCATGCACCCATGCACCCATGCACCCATGCAGCCAAGCACCCATGCAGCCATGCAGCCAAGCACCCATGCAGCCATGCAGCCATGCAGCCATGCAGCCATGCAGCCATGCAGCCATGCAGCCATGCAGCCATGCAGCCATGCAGCCATGCAGCCATGCAGCCATGCAGCCATGCAGCCATGCAGCCATGCAGCCATGCAGCCATGCAGCCATGCAGCCATGCAGCCATGCAGCCATGCAGTCATGCAGCCATGCACCAACACTCATGTATGGGGCATTACTGTAAGAGAAAACACACACACACACACACACACACGCACGCACGCACACACACAATCACTCACGTGAAGAGGAAGAAGTGCAGAGCGACATACAGCCACTGCCCTGCACGCATGAGCGCAGCACACACCCAGCATGCCGCCACCGCCACCGGACCCGCCCTGCTGGCGCGCTCCCATTGGTCGAGAGGCGGGGCGAGCGGGCTGTAGAGGATAGTGTGGAGGTCGAGGGATTCGAACTCGGGGCTGTCTGGTGGGAAGGCGAAACCCGAGGCGAGGCTCAGGAAGAGTGGTGTGAAGAGCAAAGCGAGGAGGACTGGTGATGCCATTATGAGCAGCACAAATGCCACGTTGTTGAGCTGGTGGGGGGAGAGGGGGGTGGAGAAGACGAAAGTCTCAAAGTGATGCAAAGGGAGCGGGGCGAGTGGGCCAGAGAGGACAGGATGTGTGGATGTCGAAAGAACCGAACTCGGGGCTGTCTGGTGGGAAGGCGAAGCCGGGGGCGAGGAAGAGCGGCGTGAAGAGCAAAGCGAGGAGGATTGGTGGTGATGCCATTATGAGCAGCACAAATGCCACGTTGTTGAGCTGGGAAGGGGGAAAACATGGCAGTGGGGAGTAAGGGGAGTGTATGGGGGAAGTGGGGGTTGTCGGGTGCGAGGGTAGGGTGCAGAGGGTGATGAGGCAAGTTGACTTTTGAGTCGACCCAAATGTCGGGTGCGAGGGTAGAGTGCAGAGAGAGTGATGAGGCAAGTTGATGAAGGGCTGAGGTGGAAGAACGGCCACTTGCTCCCTCAACCCCTCACCCGTTCTCAGCCAATCAACCAATCAAAATCAACCGTGGGTCCACGTGGCTCACCCTGAGCAGCCAGTTGTACCCGTGGCTGAGCCTCGTCAGCACTGACGCCTGCTGCTTCACCGCCAGCTTGGACCGCGGCCGGCCACAGGGGATGAAGAGAGGCGAGGAGGAGAGCGAATGTGGCGGCAGGGAGTGCGAGTCCTGTTGCTGCTGCGGTGGTAACCACGGTGAATTTTCTTCCTCCCCTTTTCTAAGGTCCCGCTCTCTCTGCTCTTCATGCTGCGTCTCTTGCTCCTGCTTCTCCTCCCCCTGTCGCACTGTCCTGCATTGCTGCTGCTGCTGCGGCTGCTCCTCTCCTTCCCCTGTCGCACACCCCTTTCTCTCCTGCCTCCTCTCTCCCGATCCACAGCTCCCCAGATTCTCCCCACAGGCACCGTCCAGGAAGCTTCCTCTGACATACCGATGCACGATTTGTCCCATGTAGGCACAGATGGGCGGCACGGGGAGCTCCTCCGGCACCTCTGAGGGCGGCGGTGGGCGGCGACGGATGAAGAATTTCTGAGTCGGCTCAAAAGTCACCTCGGGGAGCTCCTCAGGGACTTCCGAGGGCGGCGGTGGGCGGCGACGGATGAAGAATCCCGCACATGGGCTGGCGTTGCTTGTCCTACTCTGCGCTTCGTTGCCATGCTTCTGTGCTGGGGCGGCAGCGCCTGTCTGTTGCTGGGAATCCGACGTTGCCAAGTGGGGAAGAATCAGGTCCTGGGGGAACACGGAGAGCTGCGGGGCGGGGGGGGAAGGGAGGGGGGAGGGGGGGGAAGCGGGAAGATGGGGGGAATGGAGGGGTGGGGGGGGGGAGGAATTTTAAGTCGTCTAAAAAATCAAGCGGGGAAGAATCAGATCCGGGGGGAACACGGAGAGCTGCGGGGCGGGGGAATGGGGGTTCTGCCGTAAAGCGGAGGGGGGATGGGGCTGTGGGGGAAGGATGAAGGGGAAGGGGAACGGGTTGAAGGTAAGACTGAGATGCGCCGTGCGCAATGCGCTTGTGCTTCAACAGTAGACATGACGCGCCGCTGCCATTTTTGAGGCGCCTCTGAACTTTTGAGGCGACTTTTGAGGCGGGTCAAAAGCTTGTGCTTCGAAAGTAGACATGACGCGCCGCTGCCATCCCTGCCGTCCGTACCTCGCGCGCGCGAGATCCAGAAGTCGCCAAGACACAAGTAATGACTGAGATATATTAATGCACTAGTGCTTCCAAAAGTAGCCATGACGCGCCGCTGCCATCCCTGCCGTCCTGCCGTCCGTACCTCGCGCGCGAGGTCCGCGGCTGACGGCGACGCACGAAGCAGCGACGGTACGGGGTCGTCTCGGTGCTCGCCCTCCCTTCCCGCGCCCATGGCTCTCCCCCCGCACGCGAGAAGACAGCTATGCTGACTGCAGGTATTGCCGGCGGAATGCTGTACTCGCTATAGAATGGTTCTTCCTACTTAATAAAATTACGACGTAACGAGTTCACCGAAAAGAATAACCAAAAGAGAAAAGGCGAGGACTGAGGAGTCCACAACGTGCTTACGCTCGTTAATTATGCTCTCTCGGGAAGGGAGACAGGAAGCAGGAATAACATGGGCGGGAGCCGTAATATCCCGTGAAGCTGACTGTGCAGCGGAGAAAGACTGCAGAGGGAGAGCGAACATGGGAAAAACACGGTGCAGTCAGGTTTATTGTGTTCGGGTACGGTGCCTCCGACGTTCACAAACCATGACGCAAGAGCAGGTTCCATGAGGTTTCGGCAAAGCCTGGGATGTCGTCATCCGCGATGCGAACGCAGGGGTGTAACTTCACGCGTGGCGAAAATAGCGTATGTTTCGCAATCACGGTCATCATGGCAAGATGCGTGGCGGCGAAAACAAACGTTTTTCAACGAAACAAGGTTCCAGCATCCAACTACTCACCAGATATGCAAAATGCAATTCCGCGTTGTAGTTCATTCAAGTCAAATCTTGCTGCCTCTGAACCAAAATTTACACACAAAAAAAGAGTTAACATTAGTATACAGTTATTTTAATGATAGTATGCTTGCAATGAAGTTGACAGATTGCAGCATATGGTAAATGATGGCAAGGGACTGTTTCCAGTACTTGCTCTTCAGCATTCATGTTTTAGTGTTTTAGATAACTTCATATTGTCTTTGATGGTGTACCAGTTTCGTTCGTCAGATCAGCACAATTCTCGGATCAGAGGGAGCTGGTGTCAGAAGATATTTCTCTTGGCCAAATCAACGACGAGTAACGGCAGAGGTGCGATAGAGGAGCTTTCGCAATCCTCGCGCATTTTGCCCAGCCCCTTGCCATAGGCAGACCAGAATCAGAGGATGGATCAGCCCAAACCCCATATCCCAACCGCAGCTGCTTGCCTAGATTCTTTATCCACGGCTGGGATTCACTCCGCCCCTAGTGGTTAGAACAAGTGCTTTGAATTCAAACCATTGGGATTGCCGCGTTCCAAACTGACACGATGATTCTGCGGCTCCAGATGAGAGGACAATCGACGGTTCCTAGGTTACGGAGTCCAACGTTCACCAGCGAAATCCCGCAGCTCCCGCCTTTGTCAACGGAATCTCGCTGAGAAAAGTCGGTGCTGTTCGTCTCGTATAGCCGCTGAGGTGAAAGGAGGGTACAAGCGAACAGCGTAAACTTGGCATTTTTCTTTTTCTTTCCCTGACCGGCAGGGGAATCATTAGCCACGCGGACGATTCTCAACCAGCCACCAAAGTGGACTCTCGAATCTCCCTGTCATGGATGAAAAATAAGCCTGACCGGGCCAACCATTCGCAGCCACCGTCACTTTTCCTCGCGACCCAACACAGCCGTTGGCCTGTAGAACAATGCGGAGCTTGCTACCAAAAGAGTTCAGATGATTCAGTGATTCTGGACGGTAGATCTGACAAGAGGGATGTTGTGAGAGGAGAGGAGAGGCAGTTGGGTGACCCCTCCGCCTCATTCCAGCGTGACCGTCGTCTCTCGCCTCATTCTCGCCTGAGCCTCGGATTTCACAGCGATTTCGCCTCTTTGCTCTGATTTTCTCACGTTCAGCTACTTCTGCTCGTTTTCTTAGAGCTTCTTAGAGCTGCTGCGACTGCGAAACGATGAGTTAGTGGCGAAGCTTATTCCGAATGAAAGATGGAGGCGTTATGCTTCAGGTCGGCCTGCGTTTGCGGGAAGAGAAAATCGAGTGTTGGCGTCATAAAGCGTCGAATCGCTGGCGACTTTAGCGATAACCATGGAGGAACAAGTGCGAGATCACGATTTTCTACATGAGGTAACTAGTTTTTCACGTATCCGAGTCTTATTTAGTGGTGTAACATGGTTTCGTAATAGCACACGCGAGATTGTTCAGTGGCGCGTCTGACTGACGTGACGACTGTATGTTGCAGGTTTGTCCGTGCGGAGGCGACATGTCACGAGAACCACCATCGCCATCTGGCTGTCCGAGCGATTTTGGCTGAGTACGTGCGATTTCGGCGAGGACGCTGCGATCTCGGCGAGTACATGCGATTTCGACGAGGACGTTACAGTTCCGATCTCAGGTATTTCTGGAAGCACAGAGTCAAATTCGAAAACCGATTTCGTATGTCTCACATTTCAATTTTGCTTTTCCGTTTTGCGTTTTATTCATAGAAAACGCATTCACCGATCGATTTCGAGTTTCAATTTCCCATTTCAATTCCGCGAATAGAATCAACGGATTTCAATTTCGCGATCTGATTTTGCAGATCGATTTCGTACCACAGTCCGTTTCGCGAGCTACTTCCCTGACGCACGCTGTGGCCGCGTCTTTCCACCCACTGCAGGCCGCCGCGCGCCACGCCGTTCCCACCCCCCTGGACGAGTGCCACTCTGGTGGTGCCTAAACCACTCTCGCCACCTGCGATTTCGGGCCCACACACAGCGCTCTCTGCGTCCCCACCTCACTCACCTAGCTTTCATCATGCATCAAACTCCCCTCTCCTCACTGCCCTCTGTCACACTCAAGAGACCTCCCTCCCCCAAGGTAGCAAGGTAGCAGGTACAGGCTCAGGTATTCGGTTTAGTCAGGTTCAGCTGGTATGAGGTCTCTTGGGTGTGCCATTGCAGCAGTCCATTCATGCACGCTCAATTCTTGCAATTTCTTCTCTCTCCGCTCTCGCTTCACTCACTTTGCTTTGCTTCTTACCTCACTGCCCTCCCCACGCCTCTGCTTCCCTTCTTTCTGTCCTAATCTTCCTCCACTCGTCCCAGCAGGTCGCTCACACGGGAGTGGCAGTGGCGGGGGACATGGAGTGCACAGGCAGCAGCTGCTCTCCACCCAACCCACCCACCCACAGCTAAGCTAAGTACCCCGCCCTGCCCCTCTCCTCCCAACCCTTGTGTTGCTTTTCATGTCTCGCTTGCATCATGCATCAAACTCCCTCCCTCACTGCCCTCTGTCACACTCAAGAGACCTCCCTCCCCCAAGGTAGCAAGGTAGCAGGTACAGGCTCAGGTATTCGGTTCGGTATAGGCAGGTTCAGCTGGTATGAGGTCTCTTGGTTGTGCCACTGCAGCAGTCCATTTCATGCACGCATGATTCTTGCAATCTCTTCTCTCTTCGCTCTCGCTTCACTCACTTTCCTTTGCTTCTTACCTCACTGCCCTCTCCACTCGTCTGCTTCCCCCTCCTCTCCTCCTTCTCCTCCCATCTCTCTGTTCTAATCTTCCTCCTCTCGTCCCAGCAGGTCGCTCACACGGGAGTGGCAGTGGCGGGGGACATGGAGTGCACAGGCAGCAGCTGCTCTCCACCCAACCCACCCACCCACAGCTAAGCTAAGTACCCCGCCCTGCCTCTCTCCTCCCAACCCTCGTACTTGTGCACCAACCTCGCCCGAAGCTAAGTGCTCTTCCCTCAGGTTCTCGCCTTCTTACCTTCGAGTTCCGTTCTGTCCGCATGCTCATGCCGCCGTCTCTGCTCTCGCTGCAAGGGGACACGCCGAGGGAGTCAACCACCTCCCCCGGTAACAGGTGGAAGGTTCAGCCCCTGGTTTAGTATGGTACCACGTGGTAGACCCCTTTGGTCGTGTCCCCCTTGCAGCAGAGCTCTCACCATCCATCATCATCTTTCCCTGGTCGAATGCTGCTTCCTTCCCTTCTGCATCTTGCTTCCTTGCACTCACTTCGTCCGTATCTGCCCTCCTCCTCCCTCCCTGCAGGTCACTTGGCAGCATGGGGAGGGGTGGCATGGGGAAGGAGGCAGGGGCGGCAGCAGGGGTTGCAAGTGGGACGCTGGGAGCAGCGAGCGCCACACTCTTGCCACCTGCCTCGAATCGTCACTGCAGCAACCCATTCCGAAGCTAAGTTCTCCACCCTCCCTTTCCCTTCTGCGTGTTACATCATGTTTTGTCTTTCATTCTCATGCACCCACCGCTGCACTTGCTGCAAGGGGACGCGCCCAAGGAGTCAACCACCCCCCCCGGTAGGTAACAGGTGGTAGGTTCAGCCTAAGGTAGCAGGTGCAGGTCGCCTCAGGTACTCACAGCCCCAGGTATGGTGTGGTATGGTACCACGTGGTAGACCCCTTTGGTCGTGTCCCCCTTGCAGCAGAGCTCTCACCATCCGCCATCATCTTCCCTGGTCGAATGCTGCTTGCTTCTCTTCTGCACCTTGCTTCCCCCCACTCACTTCGTCTGTACCTGCCCTCCTCCTCCCGCCCTGCAGGTCACTTGGCAGGATGGAGAGGGGAGGCAAGGTGAACAGAGAGGCATCGGAGGAAGCAGTCAGCAGCGCAGAGAGGGGCGACAGAGGGGATGGGGCAGCCGGAGGAGAGGAGAAAGGGCAGCAACAAGGCTTCAACTTTCCAGCTAAGTATTCCTCCTCCTAGGTGTTGGCCTTTCGTGCCTTCTTTTGAATGTCATGCATTTTTCATGCTTTTCCCTCTGCAATCTCGCCTCTGGTTGAGCCAAGCTTCATGCCACAGACGCTCTTTTCTTTGGTAAGCCCCCCAGGTACAGCAGGTATACTCTCAGGTCAATCCTTTCTAGGTGTGTAACCCCCCTTGCGTCTGTGGCTTGTATCTGAGGCTTCACCAGTTGGCCTTCCCTTCCCTCACTTCACACTTCTGTTGCCTAGTCGAATTCCAGTTAGTCCCCACACAGTACACTCACTGCTGCTGTGTGTGTGCATTGCAGGTGGAGGGGAGGGGCGTGGGGTCAACACCGCCACTCCCTCGCGCTCCTTCCCTTGTGGCCGTGCAGGTGGCAGTGGTGGGAGGGGAGGGGGGCAGCACTCCACTCGACTGGGATGGGAGAGTATCGGGATGGGTTGGCCGAACGAGGTGAGCCTCTTTTCCCTCCCTGCCAAAGCTGCTGTCGTGTCTTCTCTCAGCA